GTTAATGGGTCCATCCTTCTTAATGCCCGTATTTGTTCTGTCACTCGGGTCAGCAGCCGTTTTCTAGGCTCTCCAATGTAGTCGACCGCGCAGGAAATACAGTTGTCCTGGTATATTATGATTGCGGTTTCACCTTGGGGCAGAGGTGCCTTAGGTCTTATGATCAGATTTCATATTGATTACTTTGGTTTTTGGGCGATGCCGTTCCCCACTGGTTTTAATAGAAGGAGATTGCCTCTGAAACGCCGTCAATGTATGCCAACGCATGCCTCAATTTTAATTCCTTGGTCGCCAGCTCTCGGTTTCGTCGGAATTGCCTGCTGCGTTTGATAAAATTTCGAGGTATCCATTGGTCAGGAAGAGGAGCTAGAGGTAATTCTAATATTTGGTCGTGCAGCACGCTGTTGTGCGTTTCTGTCTGTTTGTATAACATTCGCACATAACCGAGTTTTTGTTCCGATGGGTGATTGCTATTGTAGCTCAAAATTTGGCGCGTATTGGTGGCCTTCCTATACACCATGGTTTTGAAGTTCCCATTGGGTTTTCGATGGACGAGTACGTATAGGAGCAGCAGTAAATTGTTACTTCTCGCTGGATATCAGGGAAAACAGAATTAAGTTCACATAATTCCCGGACTATTTCCCGTTCAATGATTAGGAAGGTATCCTCAACATAGCGAGTCCGAAGCTTTGGCCCATAGTTTTCGGACACAAGAGTCTCTAATTTTTGGAAAACTGCCTCTGCAATGAAGTCCGAGAGCAGAAATACTATTGGCGTCCCTTAATCTGTTCATACTTTGGCCATTCGAAGATGAAGTACGACTTCAGGCAACATTTAAAGTTAGCCGAAATTTTACCGTTTCACCGTCTCGACCGCCTCACCATACTGACGACGACGAAATCAAGTTTGGCATTCTTTTGAAGTGCTATATTTTAGGGCCTAGAAGCTGCTGTGCAGAGATCAATAATGATGTAGGTGGAATGTTTCATATCCGTCGGCGCTTTGTCCTTTTAAAACAATGGTTAACGAATTTTAGGAAATAATTCTGAACTAGGCATTAGCAGGGAAGAAAACTCGTGCGACGAAAATGGAGTCAGATTTCAACGTGCCCCCACTTCTAAAAGACTGTATGACTGCCTTACCCTACATATCTATCCTATTTGTCTAAGCAGTTTTTTCCTACACGCTTTTTGAAAATAGATGCATGCTGAAGTCTGCCTCCATTTTAATTGTGGGAGTTTTTTTCAAATGCCTACTTTCTTGTTCACCATTAATTGCAAAACGTCGCCAAATATTACCATAAACGGACAATGTCTGCTGACATTGTTACAAATTTGTACATTTTCTCTGCGCACCTCGTCATAATGTTTTTACGAATCTACGTTTTTATAGATATTTCGATCCTGGCGCTAACAAATATAAGTTCCAAAATTCTAAAAAAATGCTTTGGAAAATGA